TTAAAAAAGGGAAGGAAAATTACAAAAAACAAAACAACAATACGAAATCAACAATTGAAACTTATTAAAAAAAAAAAAAAAAAAGGGGGGAAAATATTGAAATGTTTTGATGTCTTACCCGATGGGAAACCTTTGTTGGGAAGATGTATAAGGCCCAGGTTCGTAATATTCCGTACTTAGCGAATGTTCATCGAGTGTGTGCTCGCAGTTATGTGCTTTTGATGCGCTTTTAATATCCATGAACGCAACCGCTGCACAAATACTGCCATTGCTACCCGGAAGCAATTTAACGCTTTGAACTCTGCCATATCTGCAAAGACATACAAAAAAAAAAAAAAAAAAAAAAAAAACCAACAAGATTAGAAATGATATAAAAAAAGAGGAAACAAACACATCAAAACAAAAAAAAAAATGTCGTCGGTGCAAAATCGTGAGCAATAAAAGAAAGTTTGCCCCGAATTTAAGTGCGTATCCTTTTTTAAAAAAAAAAAAACACGCACGCACGCACACGCACGCACGCACGCATATATACATTAATGAGTGACATAAAAAAAAAAAAATTGTACACGTTTCTAAAATATTATCTCTATGAATAAATAAATAAATAAAAAATTAATCATTATTTTTAAAACCGTTAAACTACCCGAGAGCCACTTATTAATAGCAAAAAGTCGTGCAAAATATATCATGTTAAATATTAAAGGTAATTTTTGTTATTATTGCCAGCAAGAATCCGGCAACAACAACAATATATCCATCCGAACAGAAACCTTTATTTGGTATTGTGGTACGGGGGAGGGGGGGGGGAAAGGGGAGGGAAAAAGAGAGAGAGAGAGAGAGAGAGAGAGAGAGAGAGAGAGAGAGAGAGAGTACTACTAATACGTACGAAAGTTTGGCAAACCTGTATTTTAAAAGTAAGCAAACTGGTAATTCAAGTGCAATTTTTTTTTTTTTTTTTTTTTTTTTAGCATTTTTAATTTGAAAAAAAGAAAAAAAAAAGAAAAAAATTTTTTTCAGCCCTGATTTTTAAAATTGAACATGTTTACCAACGACATCTTGTTTCATTCGCAAATTCTTCAAAAAAAAAAAAAAAAATCCAAAATGTACATGCAATCAGGGAGTACCCTGTACGACTACACAAACCATAGGCATTTTTCAAAGTAACCTTTTTGAAAATTTACGTTGAAAAGGTTCAAACGAGAGAAACATTAAACAAAACAAAACAAATTTCGTGAGAATTCAAAGAGAAAATAATGATCATCATCATAATGATAATACTAATAATAATAATAATAATAATAATAATAAAAGAAAAAATGGTTTACAGGTGAACTGGAACAAAAACTAACGGTTCGATGACCTGTAGAGAGAGAGAGAGAGAGAGAATCAACGACGTATTTTTTTTTTTTTTTTGCTAAATTTGATTGTTTTAATTCGTAATCATAACATACTGCCCTTAATAATTGTGCACAAGCAAATTTTTATTTTTCTTTTCTTTTCTTTCCTTTCCCCCCTCCCCCATTTGTAAAAAAATTTACAATTTACTGTTAATAATAATAATAATAATAATAATAAAACAAACTTTACGAAATAAAAAAATTTTATTTATACCCACATTAACCAAGATAGGTGAAGTGAGATTCAATACTTTCTAAAATGACCAAGTTTAATAAAAATAATTTTTTTTTTTTTTTGTTGTCATAAAAAACTATCTCCTCAACTTTTTGTTTAAACGAAATTACTATTCATTTATATTAATTTCTCCCACCCCATCCCACTCCCCGGGATAAAAGGGAATTATTAGGAAAAAGAGCTTTAAGGCGTACAGGCGCAGAGCACTTATTCATTTTAAAATGTATTATTTAAAAAAAAAAAATTTCTATCAATTTTATACCATTATTATTATTATTATTATTATTATTATTTTAATTTAAGTACAGAATAATATTAAATTATATTTCGAGTAAAAAAACATTCTAAAATAAAATAAAATAAAGTAAAGAATTTTTTTTAAAATAATAAAAACTTCTTCCAGAAACGGACATATTACTTCCCGTTACTTTTTTTTTTTTTTTTTTTTCAAACAAACGGTAACATTGGAAAGCAAATAATTTTATTTCCTACGCTAAGAAAAGAGAGAGAGAGAGAGAGAGAGAGAGAGAGATTATTATTACAATTTTATTAACATTTGCATTTAAAAAAATAAAAAACCTAAATTTTAATTTTTTCAACATTTTCTTTTTATATATACAAGACTAAAAATTTTAGATTCTGGCAAATCTACGCCAAAAAAAAAAAAATAAAAAAATAAAAATAAACCATTTTGCCAACGATATATTAAAAAAAAAAAAAAACCCAGGAAAAAAAATTTAAAATTTTCCACGCCACGCAATTTCAAATTTGTTTCTTGTTTTCTTTTAAAGATTACTAAATTTTCTAACATATTTGGGCGTTCATTAAAAACGAACAATTTTAAGGTTTCCTTTTATTAAAAATAAATAAAAGAGAAATTATTTGTGTTCACAAAAACTCGAATTGAAAAATTTTAATTTTATTTTTATGTACACGAAAAGAAATTTGAAAATAATTTCACTCTACACACAAAAGAAATAATAATAATAATGATAATAGCAATAGCAATAGCAACAACAACAATAGTTTTTTACTTTAAATTTAAGAATTTTTTCGTGCGAGGTGTTAATTTCATATTTTATTTCAAACCAAACATGAAAAGAAAAGAAAAAAAAAAAAATGTAAGAAGGCCCAACTTGTTTAGTCTTTTACGTTGTTCGCGGGGATTTGGCAACGTCGCCCCGACTTGAAACACTCGTTTCTGCTAACCGTTTACTTTGCAATTTTAACGTTGCCAAGTTTACACCATTATATATATTATATATATAATTTGCAAGAACACACTTTCATATATATATATATATATATATATATATATACATATATACATGTTCAGTTAATCATCATCGTTGTAACGGCGTATTTCATCATTTAGAGGGAAAAAAAACGTACTGAACAAAATTAATAATAATAATAATAATATTATTATTTATATAAATAAATAATATTTATATAAATAAATAAATAAATTTCGCCTTAATTTTTTGGCAGATTAATTGGCAATGTTATATATATTAAATACATTTTTTCTATTAAAAATTGTTTGGTTTTACATAAAGTTTAGCAAAAATATTTCGTTTCGTTCATAATTTTTGCTCCTAATAATTTTTTGCTACAAACAAATATCGTCTGAGTAAAACAATTCCATACCTAAAATTTGTTTTTTTTTTTTTTTTTTTTTTTTT